TTCCCCTATGTTGGGAGCTGTTACCATCCTGCCTGTTGTCCTGCTCTATGTTACTGCCAGAGCCTTGAGAAGATTTGGACCCTGGAAGCTCATAACCCATTGGAGCCTTCTGAGTTTCATGTCCAGTCACACCCTCTTCCTCCTCACTACCTAGTCCCTTGCCTAGCTCACCTACAGAAAGGACTCAATGTGGTGCTGTCTCCACCTTAACACGATTTTCTGAGATGGAAAGACTGGCTCATCCAGGCAGTTCTTAGAGATATTACGGCAGGGTGACCTTGAAATAAAAATCAGTTTTTGATATAAGCTAGAAGTTCAGACATAAGATGTGAATAGATGAACCCAGATTTAGAGCCATAGTCTGCGGAGAAACAACTTTGTAAATTGTCAGTCCCCTAAAGAAGTGACTGTAAATATTCATACTCACATGAGATATCCTTGTCATTTCATAAACCTTTAAGGAATGTCCATCTAGTCAGTTGTACAATTACAAGTAAAATTTCTTTGATTTGATCTTCCCAGTTTAGTTGCATGTTCCTTGTTCTGAAAACTGAGCAGCATTTATTAAAAGACAAGAGTGAGTTATTACCCATGAAAACTCTTTGCATCACCAACGCCTTCTGTTCATCTGTACACCCCCAGTGGCCCATTCTTGCTTAGAGCACCACTGGCCGTGGAAACTCATCATCTCACTGAATTTTATTCTGAGCAGTCCTGGAGCTCTTTGTAAAATGTGTGGATATAATGTAGTCACAATTGCATTGTAGTCACAAGTGGTTTTGTAACATTGAATAGTAAGTGCCTTTAAAACCTACAAATAGATCTGGATACATAAAGTCAATAAAAAGGCAACAGAGTCTCTCATTCACATGACCTATTTGTCAGTCTCATAAGAAGAACACAGACTTCTCTCATCCTTGTCCTCTTCACATGTGATGTGACATATCTGCCTGGGAACCATACTCTGATGAGGTAGTGTTGTGTGGCCATTGGCATAGAGATATAGTTAGTTATAAAAGTGAATTAGAAATTATTCAAAGAACTCAAGAAGCAAGTCTCCAAAACACCAAAGGATCCAATTAAAAAGTGGGCTACAGAACTAAATAGAGCATTCTCAATAGAGGAGTATAAAATGGTCGAGAGGTACTTAAGAAAGTGCTCAATATTCCTAGCCATCAGGGAAATGCAAATCAAAACAACTCTGAGATACCATCTTACTCCTGTCAGAATGGCTAAAATAAAAAACTCCAAGGACAATTTATGTTGGAGAGGATGTGGAGAAAGGGGAACACTCCTCCACTGCTGGTGGGAGTACCAACTCATACAGCCACTTTGGAAATCAGTATGGAAATTCCTCAGGAAAATAGGAATCAGCCTAGCACAAGATCTAGCAATTCCACTCTTAGGCATATACCCAAAAGATGCGCATTCATATAACAAGGATGTCTGCTCCACTGTATTCTTAGCAGCATTATTTGTAATAGCCAGAACTTGGAAGCAACCTAGATGCCCCTCAACTGAAGAGTGGATAGAGAAAATGTGGTGACACAGCGGAGTACTATTCTGTGGAAAAAACAATGGAATCTTGAAATTTGTAGGCAAATGGACAGCACTAGAAGAAACCATTCTGAGTGAGGTAACCCAGTCACAAAAAGACAAACATGGTATGTACTCACTCATATATGGGTTTCAGACATGGATCAGGGGAGTGTCAGCCTACAATCCCACTGCCAGAGAGTCTGGGAAACAGAACCTTCAACTAGCGACTGATGGAAGCAGAGGCAGACTCCCACAGCTAAACACTGAGCTGAACTCAAGGAACCCAGTGACAGAAAGGGAGAACTGATGAGTATAGGGGTCAAGACTGGGCTGGTTTAGCCCCCAGAAACAGCTGACCTGAACAAGCAGGAACTCTTGAACTCCAGACTGATGCCTGGGATTCCAGCATGGGACTGATCCAGATCCCCTGAATGTGGGTGTCGGTGAGGAGGCCTAGGCAATCTATGGGTCTTTGGGGAGTAGGTCAGTATTTATCCCTGGCATACAAATGGACTTTGGGTGCCCATCCCACAATGAGAGATGCTCTCTCAATCTGGACTCTTGGGAAAAGGCCTAGGCCCTTCCCTGGGTGAAATGACAGACTATGGACACCCCTATGGAGGGCTTCACCCTCCCTGGGGAAAGGAGTGGGGATTGGGGGAGGAAGATTGGGGGAGCTGGTGGGAGGGATTGGGAGGAGGGGAGAGAGAGGGAGCTGGGATTGACCTGTAAAGCAGCCTTGTTTCTAATTTAAATTTAAAAATAAAATAAAGCAGCAAAAAAAGAAATTATTTATTGGATGTATTCCACATGACAACTGCTAAAAACAGTTAGCACAAGTTATTCTTTAGCATGTGCCACGTGTCACATGTATATCCATTTACTTGCCTCATTTTCTCCTCATTCCAGCCCATAGAAATAGTTGTTACTGTCTTCATTTTCAGGTCAGCAGGTGCATTTGCAATGCTACTGATTTCAGGCTGTATGAGAATTATGGAAACTCTTCATCCCTGTGTGTGAACACAGCTGCCCAAGAGCTAGTCCTGAGCAGAAGATTTAAGATACAAAATTCTCACTCAGAGCTGAAAGAACTAATTAGTCATCAGACACTTAAAGGATATATTAGTGTTAAGCCACCATCATATGGGGACAAGGGCCTTGGCAGGTTTATTTGATTGCTTTTGCTTTCCCAGAACTGGGATTACAAACAAAGAACACCATACCTTGAGTTTTTTTTTCATGGGTTGTGGGGATTGAACACAGGTCCTCATGATTTTAGGCTAGTACTTTCCTGAGGTGTCACCCTAAGACTTCTACCACCTTTTTTAAAATCTAATTTTATTCTCTTACTGTTGTCAGAAGCCTTCCCTGCTCCCCGCAGGAGACTAAATGCCATGCCTTCCTGTTTGTGATTATATGCAGCTTTCCTTATCTCTTCCTAAAGATTCTAGTGGAAGTCTTGGGGGCACTAAACAAGCTCACAGCGATCATTTAAAACTGTAACTTATATGAAACTCCATAAATAAAGTATTTTTTCATGTTGTACAATGTTTGCAAATTTTGCTTCCTGCAGATATTTTGTGGAAATAAAAAGTCTGCCTTGTAAATATTCATTGCAACTTGTTATTCAAATAAGGTTGGCATCAGTGTTCCTGTAATAGAACCAGTGTCTTATGAAAACTGGGTCATGTTAGTGACAGAATAAATGCAGACATATAAATGATGGTAAGAATTCCAATGACTTCTATAAAATTTTTATTATACATAAAAGCTGTTTGATCATTGCCTACTAACAATAGTCAGAATTGAAACAGCTGTTATAAATCATTTACTAGAGCGGTTGCAAAGTCAGTTGTCTCCAGAGGCCAGAAAACCGAAGCAAATTCTTGAAGTACACTGGTTCAGTGTACTAGGGAAGGAAAGGGACTGAAATAAAGGTTACTCTAAAGATGACCAAATCCTGAAATTACCATTGTAGAGTAAATCTACTCTCCCTGAGATAGACTTGAGATCAAAGCATATTAACAGATTTGCCTAAAATTAAATGATTCTGTGTTATTCGTCAGAGCTAAATAATCTGCAGGGCCCATTGGAGATAAAATGGGGTGTTGTTTAACACTCATTTAGAATTCAATATGATGACTGCAAAGCATTACATGAACCCTGTGTAGCTGAGCATGGCCCATGTCAGCCCTGGTTTTAGGTTCTGATCTGGAATTTGTACACAAGATGGTAGGAAACACACATTCACCTGTAGCTACCAAGAAAGCTGGTCGCGGGTGTGGGTGAAGTCCATTTTTGCTGCACACACTATGTAAGTGAGCCATCAGTACTTACAGGAGGGCTTTCATGTGAGGGCTAGAGTTGGAGCTTTTCAGTTTTGTTGGGAGGCTTATTGAATTACTCCTGCTTCTGTCAGTTTTTGTTGTTCCTTCTTAAACTCAGATTTTTATGAGTTATTTGTTGAAACCTTTGGAGTTCAAAGTTCTTCTCTAAAGTAGTTCTGCCTTAGATTTTACAATGTTGAAGAGTGGACCAGCCCGGAAATGTCTGTGTCTGTGAAAGTCTGAGGGAGGCTTGTATCTGTATCTGCTGGTGAGTGAAAGCCAGTGATTAGAGGTTTCCACCGCCAACGCTTTCTCTCCTGAATGCAATTCTTACTTTCTTCAGATAATTTTATATATTGTCTTAATTATCTAAAACCTATCATTTAAAAATTTTAGATTCTTTGCAGACACTTTCCTCTGATGGTATAAAGGAGACTCCGGTCTATTCTCTGATGTTCATCTACAATCTAGAAGTCCAAGTTTCCACCAGCCTAGTGACCTTATGAATACAGTTGAATGAATACTGGCCAGTTTTCAAAAGCATGTTATTCACGTCCAGAAAGTACATGGAAGGTCAGAGAGACAGCATAGGGTAAAGGTGCTCACTTCACAAACTTAGTTGGCTGAGTTTCATCACTGGAAACATACACACACACACACACACACAAACACATACACACACATACACATACACACATACACACACATACACACACACATACACACACACACACATACAATGACATACATGACCAAAGTTTTCATGGCATACAAGAAATAAATTGGGTTTTGAGTACTATAGTAAGATGCCTTTTGTAAATAAAAATTAAATGTCTTTATTTCATGAGCCTCATCCCTCCATGTGTGTTCAGTCAGAAAATTGACAAGTTGGGAAAGAAGAAGAAAGGCAGATGGGCACACTCGATAACTAAGAAAAAGAAAAGTTGTGAATAATGATTAATATTTATTTCCTTAAAGCAATACACAGGAATGTTTATGCTTGATTAGTGATTTTTACCAAGTTCATTCCTTAGTTTAAAGGAACAGAAAACTTTATTAACTTTTTCCTCACATATTTCAGATATACTGTGAAATATATAAACTGAATGTCTTAATTTCTTTAATCTTTTACAGGTGGCGATTTTCCTTTTACCTTTATGTGTTTAGCTATGGAGTCCGGTTCTTAAAACAGGTAGGCACTTTCAAATTCTTTATAAAATTCTTAGTGTCTATAGGCATATGTCTAATTTTGAATATGTAACAATATTTTAAGTAAGTAACATCCTTCCTTAGAATTCCTTGTACATTTAAATTTATTTATAAAAACATTTATATGAAATTCACTGAGACATACCTCTGAAATGTTTAGAAAGGCAGTTTGTTTCTGCAGTGAGGATGTAAAGTCTTCACTGTGTTCTCTCTGGTTACAACTTTTTTTGCACTAGAAGTTGTAATGTCCAGTTGATGCTATGAATAAGGTTAGCATGTCAGCACTGCATGTCACATGATCAGAAAACTCTGGCTGCTACATTGGGTATTATCACTGTAATCCCCACCAGTAGAGATTGCTGCTTTAGAGTCTTGCACATTAATTAACAGGGTGGAGCCAACTGCTGGTGGTAAATTCCACTTTTCGTATGCCTGTGTTGTCTTTGCTCCCGGCTTGCTGACTGCTACATGAACTAGGACCCATTAATGCATGAAGACCCTGCTTTATCAGGTGTAGTCCCCTTCTGCCCTGTGGTCGCCATCCTTACTGGGGTTACTGATAATTCAGAGCTTGGTGATAGTTATGATTTATTAAAGCTTGCCGAGGATCCAGAAAGTCAGCCTCAAGTTATAGTGATCAGGCAGTGGTGATACACACCTTTAATCCCAAGACTCAGGATTAACAGATAGATGGATCCCTGAGTCCAAGACCACCCTGGGCTGCCAGAGAGTGAATCAGAGCTCACACCTTTAATTCCAGGATTTGAGAGCTACAGAAAGTAGAGAGGCATTCAGTCTGAGAATTAGTCTCTAGCCATGTTGAGGAGAGCATAGCAGTCTGAGTGAATCTGAGGAGCAGTGAAGTGGGAGCAGTCTGAGGATCGCCCCTTTGGTCTGAGATGAGGTAGAGGTAAGAACTAGTGTCTGGCTGCTTTGCTTTTCTGATCCTCAGCTTCAAGCTTGAACCCCAATATCTGTCTCTGGGTCTTTTATTTATCGTGCTACATCAGAGTGCTTAAATTCAAGACTCACAGAGATTTATCTTCTCACAATCGTGTGTGCATTAACAACGGTAACTTAGTATAAAATGGAGAGCTAATTTTAAAAGTACCTTGTACTGTTACCCTCCAAAGTAGTATCTGTTTTATTATTATTATTATTATTACAGAATATCTCTAAAATAGGATATAGGCCAAGTAGCATAACCTACTAGCAAATCTTATATATATTGATGTGAAATTTTCAGATAGGTTTTGTTTGAAAGTCTGAATTATCAGATACCATCTGCCTGTGGAATCGCTCGTATAAAAAGTGGTCACTTTCCACTGTTAAAACTCCTTGAAACACTTTTCACTGCTTGTCACTTCCGTAGGTAAATGTACTAGCTGTTTGTTTGGTTTCACCTAATAAAAATGTATGGTCCAGGGCCATTTGAGAAAATTCAAATGGATGAACTTCACACTCGTGATGGAGACATTTGCAACTGGAGTAAACATACATGGCAGACAACGCTTAGTTTGAACCCGCATATTTGTGTTTTAGACTTAGTGAGGAAGATTGGATGAGCATAAGGCATTTTGTGCTTACTTGGAGAAGATAGCTGTAGATAGAATTTGAGGCGATGTGGCAGATTTGCCCTTCGTGGAATGTGAAGGGCTAGCAGTACCACGGTTTGGGGGTTCACACTGGCTTCTGCTTTAAGAGGTTTTGGTGGTTTGAGGGGGAGATGGTGGGAGCTGGGACCACTCTTTTGTCCTGTGCCCTCCTTTCACTGGATAGTTTCCATTGTCCCCAGCATGGTAAATGTGGCCATCAGAAATCAGAGCAGGAAGCACTTTGACATAGATCTAGTTCATTCTGGTTCATTCTGCCCCTACACAAACTGAATGGCAGGAATATACCTTTTGTCCAAACTGAACAGATCAGTGGACTATGCAGGGCCGTAAAGAAACTTGTCAATAGAGTGTTTGCTTGGGAAACTTTTTTTCCCTTAAATTTCACCAGTTTTATACTAGTTTCCTTTTAGGATATAACAGATGCTTTAGAAAGAGTAAAAGACCTAGACTTGCTCTGGTTCTCTCTAGTGCTGTCTGAACAGCATTCATTTGGAGGAACTGCTCGCTTCTGTCAAGCAGAGTTGTGTGTATTAAAACCATGTTGTCAAAAAACTGTGCACACGCCTTGTCAACCCGGTGTCATGGTTAAGAAGGTACAAATTCAGGGAATATTCTGGAGGTCACACTGAAGCTTACCCATGGTGAACCTCAAGTTAAGTACACCCTTCTGTGTCATTCTCCTGGCTTTCTCGCTTCCTCGGGCTGGAGAGTCTCCCCAGGACTTCTTTTTCAAGCTAACTAACTTGAATAAACCACATCCTTATTCCAGTTTAAATAACTTAAACGCTTAAATACTTTAAGTAGTTTTATGAACTTGGAAAAGACAGTGTTGTCTCAAACCAAGAAGGAAAAAATGTGGATGTAGCATCAAAATGAAAATGAAAATTTTAAAATATTGTAAATATTTTAATATAGAGTCAGTACATTTTACCAAAATGGCCCACGTTCACCTGTGTCCAGGTTTTTTTTCTAAATACCGTAGTAGGAAAATTCTCATAATCACTAAGTAATGAACTCATTTTTATTGTAGTATCAAAAGTGTGGATTATTTCCTGGCTTGTAGGAAAATTCTTGGCAATCTACACTGTCCAGTTTCTCTCCACCCTTATAAGACAAGTCAGCTGTAGCTTATCTTCTGGGGACCCTAAGTGTCCTCTTTGTTTTAAAAGACGAGACAAGACTATGTGGCATTTATCTTATAGACATCTAAGTAAACTATTAAGTTAGGTTGCTGCTAGGATGAAAAATACTTAAATAGTTTGAAGTAAGCCCAGGTTGGTATTTCTTGATCTGTCAGTGCTGTCCATGGTTAGCTCTGCCCACACATGTGATTGACAGAGACAAATAAGTGCTTTTGTAGAGGGAGGTTCTAAGTTACCTGATGTATTCTGAAGTCCTGCAGCCTACTCACACAAATTGACAAGCTTTCTGGGGTCCTGAAATAAATCAAGCCACTGCTCAGCATGGATATACATTTGTTGTGTGAGCCTAGACTTTAACGGCTGAGGCATCTCTCCATCTCTCCATCACTGAGGAGGCTGAGGCAGGAGGATGGAGAGCTGACAGCCAGGCTGGCCTGTTGTTTTTGTTTGGTTAGTTTGGATTTAGTCACTTCTAGGTAGGAATTTCTGTTTAACAGAATATTATGAAGGGGAACCCCACAGAGGCAGTTGACCCGAATGTGTGGGAACTCATGGACTCTAGACCAACAGCTGGGGAGACTGCGTGGGACTGAACTAGGCCCTGGTCTGTTTGTGGGACCCCTGGCAGTGGAACCAGGATCTATCCGTAGTGCATGAGATGACTTTTTAAAGCCAGATCCCTATGGTGGGTGCCCTATTCAGCCTTGATGCAGGGAGAGGGGTACTTGGTTGTGTCTCAACTGAATGTGCCAGGCTGTGTTAACTCCCCGTGGGAGACCTTACCTTTTCTGAAGAGTGGATGGAGCTGGTTTGTGGGGGAGGGGATGGAGAGGAGGGAGGGAAGACAGTGGCTGGTATGTAAAATGAATAAACGACAAAATATAAAAAATTAAATTCCTTGTTTTTCTTAGAATCTACATGTTTGTAGCTTTTGACTATTTGGTACATTTTTGTATCATGATCCATTTTGTAATCGTGCTAACTAAAAGAAAAACTTGAATATATAACTATATCTAACTTCTGTATCAAAGCCTGATAAAAGAAACCACAAGAAGCATGTTAGGAGTTACCATAATACTTAAAACAACAGCAACAAAATGGTTGCTCATAGGGAACCATTGAGGCTATGTAAATCAAAGCAACTGAACGCCTAGCTACTGATCACCGCCATGCAATGTGACGCCTGCAACCCGAATGCGAGTCTTTGAAATGGTCTTCCGGGACTGGGGAGATGGCTCAGTGGTTAAGAGATTGCTTTTGAACCAAGCAGTGTTCTTAGTGGTGTTAATTACCTTATATACCAGTGTAAGCCCCTTTGCCATGTGAATCGGCAGTAAACATCTCATGGACTGGCCCTTTTCCTTAGTGCTAGCCTGAAGGTAGTGATGGCAGAAAAACGCTAACACTCAGGATAAAGGATTTCAGAAAGAAACTGAAAAGCACAAGGAGCCAGGTAAACTTTCGGAAGACAGCGTGTGCTGGCTAGCCAGTGTCCCTGAGAAGAAAGCTGGCCTTGTCATTCCCATGGCATAAAGATCAGTCACTGGCAACATGAAAACTGGAAGCAAAACAGAATAGAAGAAACCCCATCCTTCCCCTGCAGCTTCCCAGCCCCACAGTGTTTCTGAGAGATCAGGCTTGGCGAGACACTGGTACTATGGAGCCAGCAGAAGTGTGATTTGCAGAATCCAGCTCTGAGCTGAGAAACAGTATCTGGGTAACTAGTCTAACCCCCTCCCCCTCCCTTGTTGGCGCTTTCTGTGATGAGCTCCAGTAATACACTGTATCCTGTTATCATTTTTAAAACACACTGTTGTAGGGGCTGGAGAGATGTCTCAGTTAATAAAATCCTTGACATGTATGAGGACCTGCGTTTGCATCTTCTACACCCACGTGAAAATCCAGACATGCATGATGGGGCACCTATCGCAGATTGGAGAGGCAGAGCCAGTAGGATACATGGAACTTCCTGGTCAGCCAACCTCGATGAGTCAGCAAGTTCCAGGGTCAGTGGGAGACTTTGTCTCAAAATACAAAATGGAGAAGGATAGAAGAAGACACCTGACACTAACCGCTGGCCTCCACATGAATACAGACACATGTGCCAAAGCACCATGCACACAGTCATGAACCCAAACACAAGCACAGGGCACACATCAAAATACCTGCTGGCCTCTCTGTTATGTCAGCTTTACAACTAACCACTAAAACTTGCAGTTGCAAAG